TGCATTTGGTACCTGTGTAGGGAGCACTGCTACCGGTACAACTGCTTGTCGTCGTACAAGAGGTGTCAACATCTGCTGCCGTCGTCGTAACTAACAACGGAACCCCTGAAGCACAGCTCAACGTGTTTGAATCATAGCTAAGCGTGGACGTGTAATAAAGAGGTGTTGCGTTGCCACCATATACTTTGGTGTCAAGGATGCCATTAGCATTTGCTGCGCACGAGTTGGATGTTGCTTGTGTGGCAGTAACAGTAAATAACGTCCCAACAGTGCTACAAGTTCCATCCGAATAAGGCTGAACGGTTGCAGACCCATCAGTTTTCCGCGTCGCGCGATAGCTAGACGATCCACTGATCTTATGACACTTGCCGTCTGCCAGGTAGACCAAAATTTCAGATAGATAACCAGCGGCACATGATTGCCCAGCAGAATACTTTTCTACAATCACATAAGAATTCACACCAAACGCAGTAGCAAGGTCGTTTTTGTAAGAAGAAACAGAACTGCACTTGGTTCCCGTGTATGGAGCAGAGCTTCCTGAACAACTGGAAGTTGCCGCACAGTTGTCAAAATTGCCAACCGTTATTGAAACAAAAGAAGGAGCCCCTGATGAACAGCTGTTCGCTAAAGTATCATAATTCATTGTGGAGGTCAAAAAGAACGGCGTCGTGTTTCCTCCATACGCTTTTCTGTCGGAATCACACGTATTCGACGCACCAGCAGCCGCAGAAATTGAAATTGACGATCCGAGATTTGTACACGTCAGATCCGAGTATGTCTGGATGAACGCCGAACTGTCTGCTTTTCTTGCAGCGCGGTAACTTGTCGATCCACTCAACTTATAACATTTGCCGTCAGCCAGGTACGATGTGATGCTAGTCAGTGCTGATTGGACACACGACTGGCCGCTGCTATATTGTTCAACAATCACAAATGGACTCGAACCGAATGCGGCTGTTATATCGCTTCGATACGTAGATTCAGAACTGCATTTGGTACCTGTGTAGGGAGCACTGCTACCGGTACAACTGCTTGTCGTCGTACATGAGGTGTCAACATAAGCTGCCGTCGTCGTAACTAACAAAGGAACCCCTGAGACACAGCTCAACGTGCTGGTATCATAGCTAAGCGTAGAGGTGTAATAAAGTGGTGTTGCGTTGTCGCCATATACTTTGGTGTCAAGGATGCCATTAGCACCTGAAGCGCACGCATTGGATGTTGCTTGTGTGGCAGTAACAGTAAATAACGTCCCAGCAGTGCTACAAGTTCCATCCGAATAAGGCTGAACAGTTGCAGATCCATCAGTTTTCCGCGTCGCGCGATAGCTAGACGATCCACTGGTCTTGTGGCATTTACCGTCAGCCAGGTACACCAGGACGCTAGCCAGCTCATCAGCGGCACAAGATTTTCCAGCATTATACGTTTCGACGATTACATACGGATTCACTCCAAATGCCGACGTCATGTCAGTTCGATACGAAGATACACTATTACACTTGGTCCCCGTGTAGGGAGCGGAGCTACCCGTGCAAGTAGAAGTTGCAGTACAAGTGTCAACGTTGGCAACTGCTATCGAAACTAGCGATGGGACGCCGGAGACACAATTCTGGTCGGCCGAATCATAATTCGATGTAGTTGTCAAATACAGCGGCGTCGTACCGCTTCCATAGACTTTCTGGTCAGCTATACCACTTGAGCCCGTTGCACAAGAATTGGCCGACTGCCCAGCAGTAACACTAAAAAGTGACCCTGAAGTCGTCGTACACGAAGCATCTGAATAGGACTGAACGGTAGCCGACCCATCTGCCTTTCGTGTCGCACGGTAGCTTGCAGCTGTATCGGTCTTGTGACACTTTCCGTCTGCCAGATACACTTTAATATCTGTGATATCTGTAGCTGTAGCGCAAGCCGATGATGCAGTGTAAGTCTCGATAGCCACATAGGGATTTGAGCCAAACAGCGATGGAAGTTTCGTTTGTATGAAAGTTCCCGTTGCAGTACCATCCGTAGTGGAGCAGACAGTAGCTGGAAATAATGAGCTACTCGCTGGAGTTTCGGTACACGCGATGCTTGGTGAACACAAGCTACTTAAATCCGGCACAGCTGTCACAAGTACCGGTGTTCCGCTTGTCGATCCAGTGCAGAAACTAGATGACGTATACACAACAGTCGTACTCAAATCGAGTGCATGAGTCGTTTCGGTGGCTGCTAAGAAGAAAGCAGCCACAAAGAAGCCACGAAGCCTTAAAGGCTTCATAGCGGTCGCTGCTCAAAAGTTCCTGGTCGATTTGACAACAGTCGCTTGACGCTACTTCGAAGTTACCAAAGGGAGGCAAATTCGAGAATGAAAAAGCTTGTGAGACCAGCTCTGCTAAAAAAGCGGCAGCCTTGACATGATCCCAAAGTGATGGACTCTTTTTCAACAACTTGAACGGATAAAAATCATTTCACTGCAAACAAATTGTCAAGCATTGTTGTCTATGATCTTCTACAATCAGTAAGAGTATGTATGTTGCTCAATCGAAGCACGTGCCCTATATAAACGGACTTCGAGCAGTTGCGTCGTTTCGTGAGAAGATTCAACTGGATCATGCAACCGCTAGCCCAAAAATCGTTTCCTAGTAGTGTATATTTATACGTGCACAATAATACCGCTCGTCATCTTACAAAACGAATTTCGACTCACCTTTTACCAACACAGAACCTTTAAATTCAAAGATCAATTACAGTCTATCAAAAAGTTGTATGACAGCAACGATTAAGTGCATTGACAAGATCTTCAAGCACTTCATACGTACAAACAAGCAGTTCATACAATTCAAGAAATTCATTGCCGTCATCGCCGTTTCGATGAAATCCGAAACACCCCTGTAAATAGAAAAAGATCTGTTTCACAATCCTATATCGGTAACGGACTCAACTCGTTCCCGTATTAAAAAAGCAGTGACCACACGCACGATTAAGATGCGACCATGCAGCTACAGCTATTTGAGTCTATGGTAGAGGTGTTACATTTATTTCAGGTCCGTAATTTTTTAATCTATTCTGAAATAAAGTTTGACGTGATGGTCACAATTTTTGTTGCTTTTGTAATTATAACTGAGCGTTTCTTTGCAAATTTAATAATGCAATTTTCGAGATAAGTATTCCGGTGCTAGCGTCCATCTGGATGTATTGAACTAAAAATTACCCTGTATGATATTATTTATTGTCGAAGTACGTAAAGAGCATTACTGTTAGTTGGTGCACACACAATATTGCAGGTTCACAATACACTATTGTGCGATTTTGAATATTATAAAGTCCCGAATATTCGGTATCTATGAAGATGTTGGGACTCCGTAAAGGAGCGGTCAGTGATACACGGGTTGGCTGCTAGGCCGTAGATAATGCTATTATTGTATGTATCACGACATTAATATTTAGTATATGTTGAAATAGAATTAAATTGTCGCATCAGAAGGGCAGAACAACCGAAATAACTCGTCGGTTCCGCTTTTAATTCAGCGTACGAATTCAACCTTTGTGCAGTTATTATTGCAAGCAAATATTCCTATGTTTAATATTCCCATGTGCAAAGTGCACGGCAATCCCTTGCGCAAAGAAGCTCTCAAAGTGACGGACTTTCCGAGTCAGTAAACATACTCGCGTTGACGGGCATAGTCTTCGGGCAATGTGTACAATGCCTTCGACAGGATCTTTGAAGAATCTAGTCCAATCAACCGCATCCCAGCCACAGTTGCCGAAGCTTTGCGTGTGAAGTCTTGCCGAGAATCGTGTTCACTCCGCGCAGAAAGTGTTAATGGTGATTTACATCCGCGGGCTGCACAGATAGGTGATGTTGCAATATTGCGGAGTCAAAAGCTCTGGAAAAACTGTACAATGTAGCTGTACATTTATTTAAGGACGGTCATTGAAACTAGGTGTGTGATAGTCTCAGGTAAAACTCATATTAAAGGCTGCACAGGCCAGCGGCACCAACTCTTATCATAGCGAGCGTGTCCGAGCTCGTCTGATACTACCAGAACAAGTATCTTTATCCCAGAGCGACACCATTTGATAGTGCCGCTGCTATTAGGGAGCAAGAAGAGTCCCCAGATACAAGTTCTTGATCCATTCTTTTCATATGATTCTGACATCGATTCATCATAAATTGCTCTGCGGAACAGCAGCATCTAAGGAATATAACGGTAGTGAAGAGCTCATTCGGGGGCAGACATCTACCAGCGAAATAGCATGTTAACAATTTATTGGTATGGCTGATTGTATATCATCGTACGACTACTCATAATTGCATACAAGTTCATTTCGCTCCTTAAGCTTAACTACATCGCACGCGTTTCTTATTCATGCGATTCTGTTTGTATGAAATCAGACCACTTGCAAAAAGTTCATGTAGCTCAAAATAATGTCAAGTGAGCTGCTTCTTCGCAACCTCGTTAAAGTGACCTGCAGAAGCTGATTACTTACGATTCCGTGCAAGCCGTGGTGTGGAAAACACTACAAGTTTTGGCGTTCATCTGATATAACTGTTGCGTCTAAAGCGTTTATACCTAGGCAATGTATGCGACGGGATTGCCGTGCACCTTACACTGAGGAAACTTCGCCTCCTCTGACCGCGTAAACACAAGCCCAGAGAATGTGCTTTACCCTGAACCGGGACTAATAGGCTCTAAAGTAACTAGTTGCAATTTACGATGGGAATATCTACGATCTCGATTGGAGCTGACACTAAATGTACACGTTTTCTTACCATCAATAGAAAAATAACCTTGTAGCTTGACAAGAGAGTTGCTGCCCCTTTTGATCTCCTGCATCTTCCGATATTCCAAAGTATCGAGACTTTTGGAAGCTCAAAAATACGCAACAGTGTAATGTGCATTTCGTTCGCTTAAAGTATTGTGCGATAGTACGGACATAAAATTATACATATACGATTGTACAGTACTAAACCCCATGACACCCCCACAACAAGCCATGAGCTCATACTTTGTTGTCTTTAAAGGTATCGCGCAACAGTAAACGTATCGCTAACAGCTTTATACATTCACTATTTAAACTGTATGGTTCCCGTTCCTCAGAGCAACCTAGCGTAAAAAGTCCTCTCCTCTTAAACCACCTTTGATTCGGCTAGCTTCTACGATGTTCTGCCTGGTCTACACCTTCCTTAGTATAAGTCTCGTCAAGAAGGCCGCGGACAATATCGATGCGAGCGGCTGCAGCAACTTTCCGAAGCCTGACCAAACATAACTACCGTGGAATTTGCCTCGATGTTTAAGCACGTCACAAAACGATCTGAACCTGGGGTGAATAGTCCGGCTTGTGCATTGGCTACTGTCAATCTCTTCACGTCGTGAATATGAGTTTAAACTTTTGAAGCTTCTCTTGTATTCGGAACGGATTTTATCCCAAATTGCTACAGCTTTAAGAGCATGCGGTACTTCCAACAAATTGAAATTTGTGGGATCAGAAAGCGCTCTCGAGACGGCTTTCGGTGTTTTATTTGCTCTCGGTCCGAACGGGGTGCCCGCAAAAAAAACATGAGTGTGGAGGCACCGCCTACAATACGTCGTATCTCAAAAACACAATGCGGGTGAGAGTTCAAAGATAGTCATACTCTGTTCGTGCTTCGAAAAAAATATTCATTCCGTCTTAAGGCCTTACAAGCCAGCTTCATCGCAGCAGACGTCCGACTAGAGTGCTGATCAATGTCTAGCGTGGCAATATACGGGGTCTATCACCTCCAATTCTGTAGCCTCGGTTGTCTCCATGTAACTGCTGTTACAGAGCCAAACAAATGTGCGGTCCCCTCTCGAAAGGGGAAAAGCGAACCTCGACAACAAACTTTCTACTTTGCCAAGTAAAGTAATTGCAGCGGGGCTGTGTAGCTTTGCGCTATGAGGAAGCGACAGTTAGGTCGTCGACCGACCTTTTGTTCTAGACTCAGAACAAGTACGAATTTAGCGGATCACAATCTGCTTACTCGAAGAGTAAATACAGCCTTAACCCAAGGCTAATTAACATTTCGATTTAAATTCAAAACAGATTTTGATATATGTTTATCTGCGGCAAGACCGCCTAACTTTTAATGGAAAGATTTTTTTTAAATATATATAGTGAAATCTAAATACGTGTATAAGTACTGGCTATCCAGCCCCGTACCGTATTCTTGTTTGGGTGTGGTCACATCATGACCATCTGGTGTGACACAGATCCCTGTTACCAGGGTATGTGTAACCCCGTTTCACTCTCCCCCATAACGATTGAGAACATTTTCAGTTCCAATCGATTATTGCCTCAACGAGGCTTGCGTGTCCGTTAGACACTGCGTTGGAACGAAACGACTTCCGTGCTTGATGAGCCTTGTGTCCATGACACTGAAGTCCCCAAATCTCGCTGGCTCCAACAGCGCACACGGGCAGAGTCCAACTTCGTCTTCTGCACGCGGTGCCATGTCGGACCGTGTGTCCGCGGCATCGAGAGATGTAAGTCCCTGGCTCGATGAGCCCAAGCGTCGCGCTCCGCGCTTGCTATCGGTGACGAGTGACCTCGTTGGGGATGAGGAGGTGGTCGACTACGAGTTCTGACACTCCTTTTTCCGGAGGGATTGACGAGGAAGGCGAGCCGCACCAGCTGCGTAAGACAAGCCCTGCTTGCGCCTTGTGGATCATGTCCGCTTCCTAGCTTCTCGTCACCTGAAGGACGTAGTGTAATCACCATGTCCTCAACGGGGCATAGAGACGACAGTTGGAAGCTGCTCGTAAGGCGGCTCTGATGCGCGCTCATCCACGGTCGGTCATTGACCCTTATGTGGAATATTGGTTCCGCCTGCTGGATCTCGCTGTGGAAGCGAAGGACGCGGTAGCTTGACCGTTACGCCTCCACATCATCGGGCTCCCGGCCATTAAGGAAAATGAGCTTGCCGAACGGAAAGCCCTTCGGGCTCGTTTCTTGATTCCACAAGAATTTCCTTTTGAAGCTTATCGCACTCGTCTACGTGCGCAACGAGGTGGCTCTCGTGTACCCGCAATGTGAACGATACTTGTAGTGCTCGCCCCTGGCTAAAATGCTACTGATGACGAAGCGCTCTTTGAGCGACGGGTGCAACGGCACCGGAAACTTTGCTCACTGTGTAACTTAGAGTTGAGCCACAACGAAGTAGACGTGCATGTGGAGCGACACCTCCGACTTGAGTTTGCCAAACTCAAGGCACGCCGTCGACTTTCGGATTGTCGCCCTGCGACGTATATGTCAGCCTCTAACGCTCCCGCGAGCTCTGTGTCTGCGCCCACAAGAGCTTAGAGCCACTGCTTGAGCTCAGCGCATGGCCCTTCAACTTCCTTGGCTTTTGCCCGGAAGCGCAGGGCGTCTGATGACGCGGGACGTCCTGATCTTTCCGAATAAAAGCGTCCACGGCGTCTGGGCAATCTTGCCGAAGTTGCGTCTCAAAATTCTTACGAATTTTCGGAGTCCG